GCTTTTTTGCTTTTTCTTTTTTTAAATCTCTGCTTCCTCTTCTGCCAAATGCAAAGCTTTCCTCGCTGTGGGCAGAGTGGAAAGGAGGTTCCAGAAGCATCACAAGTGGAACTTTGGACCTGCATCTATCTGCCTGATGGTGATGGGAGCCTACAAAACATGACCAGAGCGTGCCAGGAAGACCCAGATGGGCCCTCCATGCGGTCCTCCTGCAGGCCTGATTGCTCACCTCTTGGAAGGAGGGGCCCCACGTCATTCACTCTGGCCAGTGGGTCATATTAATCTCTTTTCTGACCTCTGGGACCACCACGATGGCGAGAGGTGAGAAAGGCAAGGTTCTGGACTTGCCCAAAGTGACGGGTGGTGCCAAATCTCAAAGGAAGGAGGCAGGGAGGAGAGGGCAGGAAGTACGAAGGAAGGAAGGAAAGGAAACTGCATATAAGCCCAGGTGAGGAAGAGCACAGGTCATCTCCTCACTGGCCAGGAGGACCAGCAGTGGTCATTGCCAGGCCCAAGGACGCCCCCACGGCCCTGCACTGAGGGCAGTGGACGGCTGCACTGACGGCTGAGGAATCTCCAATGGACGCCCCTACAGGGGAGCCAATCTGCAGGCGCCTGCCGACCCAACCACGGAGGACTGGCTCGAAAGGCTGAGCAGGCTGAAGCCACTTCTGAGCGCTGGCAGCCAGGAAATGCGAAAGCAGCCCAGAGGCAGCTCTCGCGGAGGAGAGCTGTGCACTGGCAGGCGGCCATCCCTGGGCCCGGTGCACGCTGGGTGAGCGGCACGGGCCAGGTGAGGGGGCAGGCGCACAGGTATGGGGAGGAGTGGGGGTAGCGCACACGGGACATGCAATTCCTGAAAAGCAGCTTCATGCCTCAAATCCTGCTTCCCGGGTCCTCCGTGGCCCACAGTCCTTGGTCTGGACCCTTCCAGTCACCCTCCTGTTCCGCTTGAGCAAGTCTGAGAGCATATTTAATTCCTTTTCATCTTTAAGAATTTTCTAGACACTGGTCCCATTTTTACAGACAAGGAAACCGAGCTCCAAAGAAATTAATTTATGCAAAATGCTCACGGACTCCTAACTGAAATCCTTCTACACTTAGAAAAGAGGAACATGCTCACAGAGACACTTTTCTGACCCCACAATAAAATGCATTCACTCTGCCCTTCCCAAAGCCCCGTGGGCTTTAAGTAATGAACTAATAAAGGAGAAAACTCAAGCCAGAGAGATAGGGAAATGAAGGGTTTTCTGATTAGACTGGGGAGTTCTTTGTAATCTGAGCGAGTTTCAGCGAGAGATTGGGAGGCTCTTGAAATAAACAATGGTGGAGTCGTCACTCACACCTTTATCTCCAAACCAAATATGTTAAACATTTCTCATCTGTTCTCAAGACTACCCCGATCGAAGGAGGCTGAAGAGGGCGGGCATCGACGAGGCTAACACACAAGGCTTTTACGAACGCAGACACCGTTCTGAGTGTCACTCAGCGCCTGGAGCGAGGCTCGGCTTTCTCCTGTGTCCACATTCCCTGGGTTCCATGGAGCCGGCTCATGACCTCATTCAGATTCAACCGCACTCTTTACTGAGTGAGGCAGCACTGAGGGGAGACATCGGCAGGCAGAGGTTTTGAAAGAGGCAGAGCCATATCTCAGGTTCAAGGCCTGGGCGGGGGGCGCCCTCTGGGACAATGTGAGGTCTGACCTTGCCCCTGGGAGTGTCTTGCAGGCCTCAGCAGGTGCAGGATCGCAGTGGCCCGGGGGCATCTAGCCAGGGACAATCCCAGCAGGCCTGGGCGTCCATGCCGGACTGAGCCGCTCTGTCTTGACAGCAGGATCTCCCACCACACGGACTGGAGCCCAGTTCCATCCTCAAAGGTCACGGCTTAGTAGCTGCCCGGGGATGGGGGCAGGGGTGATGGGAATAATTACTTCACGGGGATAGGGGATTCTTCTGGGGCTTGGCTAAGCACCGACGTGAGCGGAAGGCACTCCATTCTAGGAAACGGCACACTTTAAAATGGTTCCTGGATATTATGTGAATTTCACCTCGAAACGAAACAAAACAAAACCCCCAAAACTCCAGCCCATCAGAAACATCTGGAGATCCCTGGGCTGAAAAGTAGCCCCTGAAAAGAAGACCCTGTTGGTGTTTCTCCACATAGTCCAGGCCGAGGGTGCCTGGCCAGAGTGGGCCCTACCCAGAGAGAGGAGAGGGGTCCAGGTAGCTAAAGGGTAACTTCATTTAAGATCGAATCATTCTTGAATCGTATCCTTGACTTTTAGGTAAATGGACAGTTCTAGGAGAAAAAGTTGGTGTCACCTCTAAAAATTGGCAACATGGCTCACATTCATGGCTTGTCATTTGTTTTTATTGGGCCAGCACGGGACTGGGGACCCCTGCCTGCATGAGGCGTGCATCTTCCCAGGACCAGATAAGGGGGGGTGGGCCAGGAAGGGGTGGCTTAGGGAACGAGCCTCACCTCTTATCTGTAAAATGGACAGGACAGGGCCCTCCTTCAGGGCTCGAGCAAACAAAATGGGAGGGCAGTTGGCTGAAGCCTTCCTAGGCACTGGCAGAACTATGGGAATGAGTTGTAGCCTTCCCTGGAGGAGGAACTGGGCTCTGTCCTTGGCTGGCATGCTTCCTGAGGAGCTGAGGCCAAGTTATGGTATCTGCCGGTTACATAGTCATTCACACGGGTCTTGAAGTGAAGAGAAAGGCAGGGCTCATTTCTGCTCCCTCACTTGGTCCACCATCTTGAGCTGCAGCCTCGGAGCAGGTGTTTTACTGAACGATTTCTGATGGAAGTAACAAGGGGATTGCTAACAGGCTGAGACTTGCTGGAATGACACGGAAAATCACACAATCAGGCAGAACTCTGGACATACCCACCGAAACCCCGGGAAGCTCCACCTCACAGCGAACCAGAGATAAATCAGATCTCAAATATTACAGATGCACATAGAATACAGCGTTTATATTCCTGGGTTGCGGGGTGAGGGGAAGCCACAAAAATTGGCTGCATGTATCACAATGCCTTTTTTTGACCATAGCCAGTCGATGAGTTCTCTAAATGCTGTAGGACACAGGACACACGTCTACTCTCCTAAAATCTCAGCCCGATGGCACGTCTGCCACCCCTCCCGCCCAGAACAGGCAAAAGTGAGCCTCCCAGGCTCACAGGAACCCTTTATGCCAAGATGGAGACAAGAGGCACTACTCTGGGTCACCTCCAGGTAGAGGGCCCCATCCTACCAACCTGCTTCGTCTTCCCAGACATCTTGCTGCCCCCAAGAACCCTGGTTCAGTGCCAGAGAAAGCAAGCCACATAAATACAGCTCAGGTTACTGCTGGAGCAGGCGAGGGGTCCTGGGCAGAGGCCCCAGGAACCTCCACCAGCCTATTTGGCGTGTGGGAGGGGTGGGCCCACACTCGCCAAGCTGCACCCTAAATCGAAACTCAGAGGGGAGACCACGTGGGGGGTCAGATAGCGAGTATGTTGTACAACCCACTGGTGTCAGTCAAGTTTATCTAGAGAAAAGAGCCGAGCCGCATATCTGCTGGCTGATTTCAGAAATCCTGGCATTCCGGCTGGTGCCAGGCCAAAAGAATGCGAGGAATCTGGATGCCTTTCACTGGGTTTCCCCGCAACCCAAACAGACCACAGCCTCCAGGGCAAGGGGCTGTACTTATAAGGCAAGGGCAGAAGTATTTTAAGTCCTGAGACCTCAGTGTGGAGGACTGACCCTGGGACCACAGAGCTCCCGAATTCCTCACATCACTACTGAAAAGGCCCCAGGTGTGTAACGTGCAGGCACCCCCAACATTCTTTCTGTCGGAAAGCAGATACTGGAAAACAATGAGACCTGCTAGAAAAGGTGGGGAGAGAAGAGCTTTGGAACAAAATCCAGTCATCCATCCCAAGTCGAACAAAGGATGCGGAAGACTTAAGGAAAAACCTGGAACGATCCAAGTGGCTCCCCATTTTACTTGGAAGGGTTTTTGTTATTCCAACGTGATGGGGAAGGAGGCAGCCTCTCAGCGGCTCCTCGTGAACTGCCTCTTCCACCCAGTGTATGCAGAGGATCCATTTAATTCTACCGGATCCTTTCACCTGGTAAGGGCACAGAAGGCTCTTCATCCCCAGAAGACTGTATAGACGGCCCCACTGCAGTGACTGTTCTATCACTGGCCAAGGGAGAAAGAATCCAGAGCCGCTAACATCCCACCTCTGGGTGAAAGGAGATGGGGACCACAGTGATCCTGGGATCAGTAAGCCCTGGACAGACTTGTCCCATCACCATGCTGTACACCTGAAACTAACATAACGTTGCATGTCAACTGCGCTTTAACAGTAACAGTTAAGAAGAAGAAGAATAAAAAAGAACAGCCAAGAAAATACTTGAGGACGTTCTATGAGGACACCATTCACTCTTTCCCGGCTACAGCAGCATGCCCGGTCTGCTACTGTGTTCCCAGGCCCGACGCCTGCCCCGAGTCCCGGCGTAGGCAAGCCATAACCACGGCCACACGGAGCTCTCTCAACCTGCACGTCGTCACTGGTGGCCCCTGTTTGGGAGCTCATAACCTCTTCTGTTGTAAGACTAACTCCTCTGTGCAAACAGGAAAGGGACGGCCAACCCTGGCTCTGCCCCACGGCTGTCAGGGCAGAGAACAAGCTGCCCGTCTGGCTTCTGGTAAAGCCAGATGTTCCCTGGGTGGCACCAGAAAGGGAAGTCCTTGGTGCCACGTGACCTTCCCTGGTTGGGGAAACTGAGAGCTGACAAGGATGTGAAGACAGAGCCGTGAGGGAGACGTCTACAGAGCTGTAAAAGGCCAAGAAGCTTCTGGAAGTGACTCCTCCCTCAGGAACTGCCGCGTGGGCATACGGGGCCCATCTCCCTGCAGGGGTCCCTGCACCCTGGCCTTGACACAGCGGCCTCCATGCAGCAGGTGGGGACAGCTGCTCCTCCAACACCCACAGGCTGCACAGCTTACCTCCAACAGGCCGCCCGCTTCCTGACGTCACAGTGCAAGTCCCAGGACCTGGCCTCCCGTCCACAGAAGGCAGATGCTGCAAGACAGAAGGGGAATGTGGGATTCAGAGCCTCAGTCAGCGACACCTCATGACGGCACTTTCCCTCTTCCATGTCTAGGTTGAACTATGCCCTCAGCAGCCTTCACACGGTAAGGTGGGGACAGTGGTGGGCGCTGCGATGTGGCCCCAGATGCACCTTTCATCACTGCTGCAGGAGCAAGGCTGGCAGAAGGAAGGCCCAGGCCGGGAACGGACCCTGGAGACCCCTCCCACCCTCTCCTTTCCTCCCTTCCCCTCCCCTCCCCTCCCCTCCCTTCCCAGACGGTACGCAGGGGTGAGAAGCTGCCCCCTCCCCGCTCCCTGCTGCTGAGAACAGGAGGCAGGGCCTCCTGTGGGGTCTCAGAGGCTGGCCCTAGCCTTCCAGGGACGCAGACCCCAAGCACGCGCCCCCAGAAAACCTCTCACACAGACCTGTATCACAGTCTGCGACAAGGCTATTTTTATTTGCCATTTTTTAATCTGTTACTTGTTATTTTTTATTTGTTATTTTATTTACTATTTTTATCGGCTCTTTTGCTATCTTCCCCCAGGGCTGTGTCTCCCCTCACCTGCAGTCACTTCTGCTACAGAGCCTGGCCATTCGACAGAATCATCTCATGGCTGAACCCCAGAGATGCATCCCAGACTCCCCGCCAGCAGCGGGGCTTCCTCCCCACACACGACACCCGGTCACTCAGGAGCGGCGTCCAGTCCCACTCAACCTACGGGATGCTACACAGCCCCCATCTACGAAGGATCCCTTACACCAGGATGGCGTGATGGAGGGGCGGGACTGACAGTCACCAGGCAGGACTCCCCCGAGCGATGGCCTCCTGGCCCAATCACGTGATGAAATGTGAGGCTGAAACTGCATCCTGGATGCCCTCCCCAAATCAGGGTCACGGGGCCTGCAACGTTCCGGCCCCCTCCCCTGAGAACAGACAGCAGGTGCAGACCCTCTTCCAAACGGGTATCTCCCATGCGACGGCAAGAGCGCTGGGGCGGCTGGCTAATTTTCAGGACACTGCTCCCCCTGACACCCCACTTCAGGGCTTCAACAGTAAAATGGACTCCAGAGGTACAGGAAGGTGTACACATAGGAAAAGAAATCAACCTGAAGCCAAGAGAAAAATGCGTCATGGACACAGTTAATCTCTAGACAGACAGAACTTGGCACAAGCGACATCCAAAATCGCAAAGGGAAGAGCTCCATCAAAGTCAACCAATGCTATGCAAAAGGCAACGATGTGAGAATGTTTATTCAAACATGACAAAAGATTTAGATCCCAAAGGAGACAGAAAAATGCGGGCTGGGGACGAGATGTTCAAGACATGGGGAACAAGATACTGCCGTCCAGCCGGCGTGCTGACCGTGGACGTGTCTGCCTCGCTACCCACGGGTCCAAGGAAGACTCGTGGGACTCTTGAATGTTCGTCTGGACACTCGCGGCACTCAGAAGATCAATGCCACTTGAGAGCTCTCCTCATGTTAGAAAGGGGGAAACGTGCGGAAAAGGGACAGGAGGCGGTGACAGTATTAGCAGACGTGGCTTCTCAGCAGGGAGTTGGGGAGGCTTCTATGTCCCATCTCTTCTCTTGCTGATCTGTTCCACAGTGAGTAGAACATGACGTACAGCATTTCTTTTTTTCTGATTGTTAGAAGTCATCCCTCCTGTCACAACACCAGCCTATATAAAACTGGGGTGCCTCCTTTCCTATTCCCCACCCCTCCCCCAAATCTTGGCTGGGGTTGTGGGAATCTCTCGCAGCGTTCTGTCCAGGTGCCAGCTCTGCTGGGCCTCACTCCCCTGCTCTGGTCTGTGTGCAGGGCACCCCCGCGCTGGGCCAGGTGGTCGGGAAGCGGCAAGCCCGGAGTTCCCTGGAGGAGCACCCCCCCACCCCGTCAAGTGCTCCCTGCCTCGGCCTCCTGCACCCCAGGCTGCCCAAAGCCTCTCTCGCAGCCACAAAATACAGGTTTGCTGAGAAACTGCAGACCGCTACGTCATCGGAACCACAAGAAGTTGCCAGGTTTTTTCTTTACGAAGAGCTAACCACAACACTCGTATTCCCTGTTGCTTTAAAGGATGAGTCACTTAGCATTTTGAGGGAAGGGCCTTGCAAGCTCTCTGGGGCTTGCCATTTGCTCTTTCCAAAGGATCAGTTAGGTAGAGGGTTTAATTTCATCCCGTGAGTCTCTGGCAGGTTCCCCAGACTAAGGGTGACTGGGTCAACTCTTACCTCATACCTACCATGGGAGGACCCAATGTTGCCCAACAAGCTGACTCAGAGATGGTCATGCTGGACTTTGGGCATGTACGGGAGTGCGGGGGCACACAAGTACACACACACACACACACACACACACACACACACACACGGAACCCTTTGGCAACTTGGTGCTGGGAGCGCCCGGAAGGAAGGGGATCTGGTTGTGAATGGTCCCACCAGTGAGGTCCAGGGTGGAATGGATTACATGGACAGGATCTGCTGGTCCCTCTCCAACCTCCTAGCTCTGTGGTCGACCTCCGAACGCTCTATGTTTCTGCACAAAGACCAGCGCTCCTGAGAGGCAAGCGGGCATGATCTCTGGACCAAGAGCACTGCTGTCCCCAGAGAGTGGCCATACACCTGTGGGGGCTCCCCAGTCCCCAAGGTCCCCAGAAGAAACCACAGGACTTCATGTGGGATCATCAAGTTGGCATCAAGTCCCAAGTCTAGAAGATGCCCAACTCCCTGATTTTGTGTCATGAAACATCAGTGCTATCATTGGACAAAGTGGACAAGAACCACCAAACTGTCAAAAAGCAATGCGGAGAACACAAAATTCTGTTGTCTTTGGGAGTCTCTGAACATGCCGTGTCTTCACCCACAGCCCAATGTTCCCTGTCTGTCTGCCAGTAGCTGTTTTACCAGCTTCCAGTCTCAGCTGAAGACACAGATATGGAGAGTTTACCCTACCTGAGGTCTGGAAATCTGGGGGCATAAACAGTAAGAGGCTCATGACATTTTGACGGGAAACTATATTCATACAAAGACAGAGGTGACAGCTACGTTCTCACTGCAGGACAGTCACCAACAAGACACTCAACCAGGCTTTCCACATCCCTGTTAATACATGGAACTATGCTCCCCCAAATTCTTACGTTAGAGTCCTGCCCTAACCCCCAGGACCTCAGAATGTGACCTTATTTGGAAATAGGGTCTTTACTGAGGTAATGGAATTAAAATGAGGTCCTCAGGGTGGGTCCTGCTCCTATGGGATGGGTGTCTTTACAAAGGGGGAAATTTGGAGGTACACACACACACACACACACACACACACACACACGGAGGTACGCCACATGAGAACGAAGACAGAGATTGGAGTGAATGTCACAAGAAGCCAGCAAATCACTAAAAGCAGGAGAGACTCACAGAGGAGATGCTCCCTCATAGCCTCAGAAAGAACCAGCCTTGCCGATGCTCCGTCTTAGACTTCCAGCCTCCACACCATGAGACAACACATTCCTGGTGCTCACGACACCCAGCGAGTCCTTCGCTAAGGCAGCCCTAGGAAACCATTGTGCTGTATCTGCAAATCAGAAAAGGAATTCTCAAGATCCTGACCATCTCAGGGGCTGCTGTGGGAATGAGAGGGTTTTTTTAAGGTTTCCAAGCCACCACAATGGACATGTATGGCTCCATCAGCCAGAGGATCGCTCGTACCCCATGTCAGCCAATCTCTGAAGTCTCTCCATGGCAGGAACGGGTTCTCCCTCATCCCTACGCCTTATGCTGCAAGGCACCAGAGTAGTAGACTGAGAGCAGAAAGTAGAACCAGACAAATTCTTGTCCTCCACCGGAGGCAAACTTAGGCCGGGCCAAATCTAGGGCGTCATCGGTCTTTGTACCACCCAGGAACAAAGAATGTTTTTGTATTTTTAAAAAAATAGTGGGGGTGGAAGATGAAAGGAAGAGTATTCTGGGACATGAATATTACAAGAAATTCAAATTACAGTGTCCGTAAGTCAGGTTGTGGTGAAGAGCCATGCCTATCGCGTGTACAGAGCTGGAAACATTCCGTCTCACCTTCCACCGGGAGAGTCTGCTGACCATTTCTGTACGAGCCTTACTTATACAATGGGGCAAAAAGGGCCAGGCCATGGCTGGCTCAGGGCAAAAAGAAGTGGGCATGTATCCAGAGGCGCCTGCTTAAACGCCAGCCGTGCCGAGAGGAGGCACGGAGGAGAGAAAGAAGAAAACGGGCATCATGGCTCGAAACCCAGTCAGATAATGGCCCCAAAGACAAATTCGGTCAGCTCACACGGCTATCTAGAGCTGCTATCCCTGACCTCAGCCAGGGAGGCACGCCCCTGCCTCCAAGAGCAGCTGAGCACCATGAGCCTCAGAACAAAGTGGGTGACAAAAATTGGGCATTCATCCTTTCTGATGGCTGCGTAATATTCCACTGCACATACGGGCCATCCGAGGGGGAAACGAAGCTTGAGAGACTGTGGACGAACAAACTGAGGGTTTTGGAGGGGAGGTGGTTGGGGGGGATAAGTGAGCCCAATGGTGGGTATTACGGAGGGCACATATTGCATGGAGCACTGGGTGTGGTGCATAAACAATGAATCTTGGAACACTGAAAAAAATACAATAAAATATAATTAAAAAAAAAAAAAAAAAAGAACAAAGTGGGATCTCCTGGCCTGACTTCAGCCCACGTTCTTCATTGTTATCAGAGGAAATCAGTCCCTTTTAAGAGCACCAATTAATAAAACTAAAATATATAAATATGTAAACACTTTGGTAGACTGGCAATGGCCTTTACGTCCAACGTTATCAAAATCCACACATACAACACCATGAACGGGAAGCCTATTCAGGCAAGTGGGGGATGAATACCGCCAAGGGGAAGTGTCTGAAATCTCACCTGACTTAGGTGGTGACATTTTCTTACCCAGAATGCAGAGCTGGTCCCGATAGTTCCCCTAGTTACACAGCATTTGGAATTT